GTGTGAATACCTGCCCAACCCTGCTGATACCGACAACCTGGCCCTGGATCGATCCCAAGACGAGAAGTCTGTCAAGCTTGTCCCGTACAACTCCCTGCCTTTCGTCGGTCTCGCCTTCAAGCTTGAGGAGAACAACTACGGCCAGCTTACCTACATCCGAGTCTACCAAGGAACGTTGTCCAAGGGATCTTACCTCTTCAACTCCCGCACTGGCAAGAAGGTCCGCATTCCCCGTATTGTCCGCATGCACTCCAATGAGATGGAGGATGTCGCCGAGGTCGGTGCTGGTGAGATCTGTGCCGTGTTCGGTGTCGACTGTGCTTCCGGAGACACCTTCACCGACGGCGGTCTCCCTTACTCCATGTCGTCCATGTTCGTCCCAGATGCCGTCATGTCCCTCTCCATCAAGCCCAAGCGCTCCGGAGACGCAGACAACTTCAGTAAGGCCATGAACCGCTTCACCCGCGAGGATCCCACCTTCCGAGTCCACGTCGACGCCGAGAGCGAGGAGACCATCATCTCCGGCATGGGCGAGCTGCACCTCGAGGTCTACGTCGAGCGCCTCCGCCGCGAGTACAAGACCGACTGCGTCACCGGCCAGCCCCGCGTCGCCTACCGCGAGACCATCGCCCACCGCGCCGACTTCGACTTCCTCTTCAAGCGCCAGAGCGGCGGGCCCGGCGACTTCGCCCGCGTCGCGGGCTGGATCGAGCCCTACGAGAAGCCCGGCGAGAACTTCTACGAGAGCCAGGTCGTAGGCGGCAACATCCCCGACAAGTTCCTCACGGCCTGCGCCAAGGGCTTCGAGGCCGCGACCGACAAGGGGCCCCTCCTGGGCCACCACGTCATCGGCACCAAGATGATCATCAACGACGGCGCGACCCACGTCACCGACTCGTCCGACCACGCCTTCAACCTCGCCACGCAGATGGCCTTCCGCAAGGCCTTCAAGGAGGCGGGCGGGCAGGTCCTCGAGCCCCTCATGAAGACCACCATCACCGCCCCCAACGAGTTCCAGGGCGGCATCCTCATGCTCATGAACAAGCGAAACGCCACCATCCACGACACCGACATCGGCACCGAGGACTTCACCCTCACGTGCGACTGCTCCCTCAACGCCATGTTCGGCTTCAGCTCCCAGCTCCGCGCCGCCACGCAGGGCAAGGGAGAGTTCACCATGGAGTTTAGCCACTACGCGCCAGCCCCGCCACACCTGCAGTATGTTCAACCCAAACCCCCCCCCCCTTTCTCCATTACAGAGTCTATAAGAAAACAGAGAGCTAACAATCATTACAGGAAGGAGCTGATTGCCAAGTACGAGGCCGAGCTCGAAGCCAAGAGAACCAAGTAACCTGTCTCTCTAGCTGTACTATATCCATCGAATTCAGCGCTGCGATAGAAGAAAAAGGATAGAGGCGTATGTCGCTCTTCATGCACGTTGTTTTCATTACCTGTACCATATCACTGTATGTACGAGATAAAAGAAAAAATTAGATTAATGCCATGAGACGTTTTTTTGGATAGCTACGACAATATCCCCCGGGTAGCCTGGCTGAACTAGGATTCATCGTCCACTTACTTGGATGTATATCGAAAGTTGGGTGAGTGGAAAAAGGAGCTTGGCTCAAAAATCATTTGTATACAATGTGACGAGTAAATACAGCGGTGGTAATCTCCTCTATATCATAAACCGCCCCAGCTTTTATACCATTCCTTTTTTTCCCGGTTCTCATAACACGTTTTCGAGTTCAAATCTTTGTCTATAGTAAAGGGCCCATTTACAGCTTGTTGAGGATGTCCTCGACGACCTCCTCGGTGGTAGCCTTGCCACCAAGATCGGGGCTGAGGAGCTTGCCCTCCTCGAGGTTGGCGTCGACGGCAGCGTAGATCTTAGCAGCGGCCTCGGGCTCGTTGAGGAACTCGAGCATGAGGGCGGTGCTCCTCAGGGTGGCGATGGGATTGGCGATGCCGCGGCCCTGGATGTCCGGGGCGCTGCCGTGACAGGGCTCGCCGATGGCGAACCCTTCGCCGACGTTGGCGCTGGGGACGAGGCCCAGGCTGCCGACGAGGGCGGCGGCGCCGTCGGAGAGGATGTCGCCGTACAGGTTGGGCGCGACGATGACGTCGTAGTCCTCGGGCTGGCGGAAGAGCTTGTAGACCATGGAGTCGACGATCTGCTCCTCGACGGTGACGCCCGAGTACTTGGCGTCGGCGAGGGCGCGCTTGGAGGCGGCGCGGAAGAGGCCGTCGGTCTGGGAGAGGACGTTGGACTTGTGGGTGATGGTGACGAGGGGGGATTTGTGGATGCTGGGGGAGCCGGCCTCGCGGAGCTTCTGGCGGCGCACGGCGATGTCGCCGGCCATGGAGGCGATGCGGAAGGAGGCACGGTCGGAGATGCGCTTGATGGCCTCGGCGACCTTGCCGTTGGGGCCGTCAAAGGTCCTCTCGTCCTTGACGTAGAGGTCCTCGGTGTTCTCGCGGACAATGACCATGTCGATGGGCTTGACGGCCGTCCCGACTGACTTGACGGGGCGGACGTTGGCGTACAGGTCGAGCTTTTTGCGCAAGGCGACAATCGGGGAGGAGTAGCCCTTGACAGCCTGGGTGGGGGAGCTCACGGCACCGAAGAGGGCGCCATCGCACTCGCTTTTGAGGACCTCGACGGTCTTGTCAGGGAGAGCGGCCCCGGTCTGCTCGAAGGTCTCGAAGCCGGCCTTGAGGTCGACAAAGTCGAACTTGAGGTTGAGGGAAGCCGGGAGAGCTTCGAGGATTCGGCGGCCGGCAGGAATGACTTCCTTGCCGATTCCGTCACCGGGGATCAGACCTGTACCACGAGGGCAACACTCAAAGTCAGAAATCCGGGGGTCTTTCTGTAACCGTTTGGTTCCTCAGATGGTTCTTTCTTACCAATTCTCAGAGTACGAAACGACATTCTGGCGTGGCGGGTCAATTGACTCAATGTGCACAGTTGGATCGGATACTTGGTCGCTTCCTGGACGCCGAAGATCGGGCCTCAGACTCGATGAGAAAAATGGCGGCGGAGGGGCATTAGGTAAGCCGAGGCTGGTTCCTCGGTCTCAGGGCAGGTACTTTGGATGCTACAGGGAGCAAGGCCAGCAATTTGGTGCAGCGGGGTGCTTCCAAGGCCTGTAAGTACAGCCAAAGTACCGGCGGAGGCTTTTTGCCAGCATCAATTCATATTCCACTTTCCAGCGCCCGATGCTCCATATTGGCAATAGTAAAGATGAGCATCACCCCATTGCACGCTGCATCATTTAAACAAATCATCGCATGCCACATGCTCCTCGTAACTGCTGCTTGGAAGCCCGCGTGTGTTCTCGTGCAGCAGGATCCCCAGATTAGGATTTCTTTTTATGCTATGTACAAGAATAGCATGCATGAACATGAGCATGCAAGGCAGCTGGTATGGGTCAGCTAGGAACAAGCAAGGCTTCTGGAAATTGAAACGTCGAGCAGGTCCCCTACATTCACAAGTTTCATGCCCACCCCAGTTTCATGCGACATCCACATCCACCTTGCGATCCCTCGGCTTGGTCTTGAGTCTGGAGTCAGCGAAGCTATGACATTCCAAGCTACAGGAACCGTCTTATTCTTCGTCTGAAATGACTAGCGAAAGGCTGTTGTTGCCCAGCAGGTCAGGCAGTATTGAGGGCAGCCCGAGACAAAAGGGTCAGTTATTGGACGGAGAACGGGCTGGGCATATTGGGGCATGAATCGCCGCGGAGGACAGCTCCTCCATGGTGCGACCCTGTACGGCTACTGACAGCCCCCGTGTAATATCAAATGCTGTGCTGCATCTGGCAGTCGTCGCGGCTGTGGTAGTACAAGTAAAGCCTGCGTCGATCGCTAGCAGCATTGATGAGGTTGAGTTAAGTCGAGAGAGAGGCGGAGGTAATATGTACTATCGTTAGGGGTTTCCGGCCTACCTTACCCAACCAAGCCCGGGAAGTGAGACGGGAGGACGGGCTCAGTGGATTAGAATAGAAACAATATCTCGCCTCCGCTATAGCTGCATAGCACGCACGATGTCGATGGCATAGCTGCATAGGATACGTCAGAGCGGAAGTAAGTAGCTACGTGATCCATCGCGCAGCCAACCATCATCCATAGCTACTCCGGAAGGCCATGGATGGAGATAATCTCCCACTGTAATAACCCACTGTAATAATTAACATCCTGGCTTTCAGGCTGTAGCGTGCTCGGTAGCGTTGGTGCCGGTGGCAGGTAGGCGGCTGGCAGGTACCTGGCCGGTCTCCTAACACCACCCCACCTGCTGTCGCCAGAAGGTAGCTACCCCTGATTTTCCTCGTTCCTCACTTTTATTAATGCTGGCTGGGCGGCTCCGGGAAGATCCCGTCCAGCACCACCTCATAAACCAGTCCTCCAGTCCATCCTGTCAGAAGCGTCGTCGTGTCCTTTCTCAACTGCCAGCATAAACCACCATACGCAGGACCACCCCCAAGCGTGGTCATCATCGTCATTCGCGGCCGCCGAGTCCCCATCCTGCCTCGCTCTTACATGCATACATTGCTCCATATATCACAGCACCACACTGCACCGCGACTCCAGAGCACAGCTCAGCAACACACGCACCCACAGACGTGCCGCGCAGCACTGCCATTGTCACTCACTCGTTCACCAGCTTGCCGAGGACAGAGCTAGCTGTGGCCTGCCCGCTTTTCCGCTGCTCAAATAGCCGTCTAGCTCGCCGTCGGATACTGTAGCGACGCCACAATCAAACAAAACACACGCGCTTAGCCAAACCGGTCTCTGGCAGACCAACGGACCCAACGCAGCCCAACCCCAGGCCCAAGCCCAGAGCAAAGCAAGCAAGGCTCGTCCAAAAGTTGCCCTGATCGCTCCAGCCCGCGTCTTGCCCGTCGCGCACGCGTTCGGACCGACGCCCTTCTCACTTACCCCTTCTCTCCTCTGGCCTTTTCTGCTTGTTTTTTTCTCAGTAACTCCAGAGCTTCGAAATCATGAGCGGGGTCAAGAACCTGCGCGCCATGTTTGAGAACAAGGGGGACGACCCGAGTCCTCCTGACCGCGGGAGATCTCCTGGCATACCAGGTGCGTAACGCATGATGCGTCTTGAATGTCCAAATGTCCAATTCTTTTCTTTTTGTCTCTCCTGCCACGCCGCCCTGCAGCTATGACCCTTTCGTGTCTTACCACGCCATATCCACAATGGCCGTGTATAAGACAAAATATCCTTCCTCCGACGCTTCAAAGCTTCCTCTCCTTTCCCCGTTCCAGCTGGGTACCCCTCCATCACAATCCAACTAGCCGTTTTCTTATTGCCACTACCTCCCTCATCAAACCTTCCCTGTTTACTCGATTCAGTCCAAGCTAACTCGACCTCTTCCCTCACAAAGGCAACAGCGGCTCAAATTCTCCTCGACCTCTTTCAAAGGTACGATCCAGTTTTGTGGCTATCGAAAAGGACGGTGTTATTGGCCTACGGAGGGATCCAAGCTACGAGCCTAGTCCCTCAAGACGCCCTCCCAGTACCGACATGGAGACCGCCTCAAATTCATCGGCGATTGGTGCCGATGACACATACAAGACCCCTCGCAAGCGCTTTGGAAACGACCCTATCCCCGAGTCGCCTCGAGATATTTCAGCTCCAATTGGCAGAGATGCCTTTCAAGAGAAGCTCGCTGCTGTGGCCGAGAAGTCAAACCCCAAGCCCGAAAAGCCAGTGGAAGAAGAACCTACCAAGCCTGTCGAGAAGCCAGAGCCCGTGAAGCAAGAGCCTGTGAAGCCCGTGGAAAAACCTGTTGAAAAGCCTGTTGAAAAGCCCGTTGCTGCGGCTGCACCTATCACGAAGCCAGCACCCGCAAAGCCTGCTGTTACGGCAACACGTGCAAGGTCGAACTCTCCAGTCAAAAGTTCTGCTCCTGCAGAGAAGGTCAAGCCTACTGCGAAGGATGCTTCAAAGGAGAATGAGAAGCCAAAGGGACAGGCCAGGCTCGCTGTTGCGAAACCTGCGGTTGTCAGGAAAGCTGCCTCCACGATTGGTCTTGCAGCGGCCAACAAGTCAGGGGGCCCTACGAAACCAGCAGCCAAAGCCCAAGCTGGGCCTACAAAATCAACTCCCTCGACCACATCAAAACCTTCAGATGCCAAACCCACATCCCGACTGGCTGAACGCACCGCAGCAAGAAAACCAACATCCACCACGACCAGCAGCACCAATGCCAGCAAAACCACGAGGCCTCCTCCCCTCAAACCCACCCAGGCGTCCGACACGGGATTTGTCAAGCCAAAGCCCAAGTCACCAACCAAGCCCGTCAGTTTGCCAGCGTCCTTGACTGCACCCACAGCTTCCTCAGTGTCCAAGGGGGGTGCCGCACGGGGACAATCCAAGTCTTCACTGCAAGCCCCTGCGACCACAAACCGAGCTCCCAGCAGGACGAGTGTAGCAGGCTCGGGAACGTCAAGCAAGCCAACGAAACAGACTTCCACCACCACCCGAGGCCGGCCCAGCCTCGGCGTGCCTCCCAAAAAGGCAGAGCCAGAAGCCCCAAAGCGAGAGTCCCATGTCGACGAAGGCTTCCTAGCACGTATGATGAGACCGACTCAGGCCTCATCCTCCAAGACAACCGAGAAGGTGCCTTTGACGCCGCCCAAGAAAACCACCCATTGGGTTCCATCGAGCGGCGGCAGCGGATCCCGGCGAAGCAGCAGTGTCAAGGCAAGGGCCCATCCTGGATCGCCATCTACAGCACGCAGCGTTGGATCCAACGGGGAGGAGTCCTCCCTTTTGGCTGTGGATGAGTCGGCAGTAGAGATTGAAGAGCCCGAGCCTGCCGTTCCAGCTCCAGCAAAGCAGACCGCCAAGGCTGTCGAGGTGGCCCCCGCGAAGGAGCCGAAGATCAACGCCCCTAAAGCTGAAGTCAAGCCCGAACCCAAGGTCGAGGCCAAGCCGGAACCAAAGGTGGAAGCGACCCCTGAGCCCGAACCTGAGATTAAGGTTGAGCCTGAAGTTGAGGAGGCCAAGCCTGAGCCTAAGATTGAGAAGGTCAAGCCGGAGCCTGAGGTAGAAATCAAGACGGAACCGGAAGTCGAGATCAAAGCCGAGCCTGAAGTTAAGCCTACGCCCGAACCTGAGGCCAAGCCTGAGCCCGTACCGGAGGTAGAAGCCAAGCCTGAGCCTGAGCCTGAGGTGGAAGTCAAGACCGAGCCTGAAGTCGAGGTCAAGGCTGAGCCAGATGTTGAGATCAAGGCCGAGCCTGAGGTCGAAATCAAGCCCGAAGCTGAAGCCAAGCCTGAGGTTGCTATCACCTCTGATGCTGAGGTCAAGCCCGAGCCCCAGCTGCCTTCCGCTGACGAGAAGACCGCCGACTCTGCCGTCCAGCCAGACACTGGTAAGGATAGCATAAGTACTCCCCTTCCAGTCGAAGAGCAGACGATCCTCACGGAAGACAAGAAGCCCGAGGCCAGTGAAGTGTCCGCTGTTGCTTCATCATGAGCCCGAGTTTGATCAAGAGACGGAGCATACATTTCGACGGTGGAGGTGCAGCACGGCCAGGTAAGGCAAGGCGTTGTGATTAAGATACCTATAGAGCGATGGCGCACTCTGTGAATTTGAAAACACAAAATTGATTTCTACCTGTATCTATTTATTCTACTTACTCTTCTGCTTCTTGTTCCTGTTCTTCTACTACTGTTTCTTCTTTTCTACTCCCGGTTCTCCGTGCAGCTGTTCATCACACCCCACGCTGTACATAGAACTGAATGGACGTGCCTTTTCAACAAGCTGGAGGCTTGGTTACAATGTGTTGTAATAATTCATTGCTAGGAACTATTGGCCTGGAGGGTCTCCTTTTACTGTATATAATTGTACATAATCATCTTTTTTAATTCTTCACAGCGTATGATACATTTCAAACCACCACCACATCCTCGCGCAGTTGTATATAAAACCTCAATGAGCCCGGCATATCAGAATACCTCCCACTTTCCGCGCCAGCGCCTCCCTAGCCTCCAGCACACCCTTATCGGTGCCCACGTACATGCACTCCCCCAAATTCAACCCCTTCACGACGCCGCCGTCCAGGTTGGCGGAGAACCCCCTCGTCAGCTTGGCGAGCTGGTCGATCCCCACGGTCATGATGCGCTTCGGCGTGCTGATCATCTTGACGTTTGTGAGCACGGGCTTGCCGTCCCAGTACTTCATGCCGAGCCAGAGCCGCATCCGGGCGGCGTTGAGGTTGGTGACGGGCTCGGGCTCCTTGGAGACCATGTCCTCGAGGGTCGGGGGGTGGGGCCCCCCGCGGTAGACGTTGGAGATGAAGCCGGAGCGGTGGAGGGCGAGGGCGAGGCGCATGTTGTACTTTGTGTTCTTGACGGATGTGATGCCCAGGCGGGCCTTGGAGACGTTGCGGAGGTGGGAGGCCATGTTGGCCACGTTTAGGATGGAGGGCATTGTGAGTAAATTTGGGGGCCCGGAGAGGTCAATTCGGTATTTTCGTGGGTGGGTGAATTGACGGCCCGGGTTCGATGGCCAGCGAGGGATCCGGTGGGCTGGCGAGGTCGGATGTTCGATGGTCGCCTGCGAAGCATTAGCATGGAGAGGTCGTGTGCTTTCAAGGCTTGGAGGGACGCACCTTTGCCAATACAGGTGGCTCTGTATAATTAGAACAATATCCTCCCGCCACGAAAGGGTATCAGGACTGGTAGTGGCGTGGATAGGGCTGAGGATGGCTGTTCACACTACCTCTTCGACGTCGATCGCGAATCGCAGCCAAAAATTCGATGTTAGAGTCGGACGCAGCATCAAAAACGAATGATGACTAAGCCTCTGTTAAAGATATGTCCAGCCAATCGGGGGTCATCTACTGCTCCACTTTTTCTCTTCTACTTGAGGTTCTCTTTTATCACCACGAATGAATGGGAATGAACATATGATTGAAGTAAATTTGGTGATAATTTTAGTAGGGAGTAGTGTGCTAGTCTATATATCAAATTCTGCCTATATCTCAATCACCAGTCGCCCAAAACAATACCAACTCCTTTCAACGACGCTGGAATAGAGCCTTGAAGATGCCCCTGAAGCATTTCCGGTGTCTATATCCCCAGTACGCAAGTGTACCAATGAAGGGACTGGCAACAAGTGACAGGAAGCATCGCACGAGGATCCGGCCCTGGTGGTCGCTCCTGCGCACGATCTCGCTGTAGCCCTCGTTACTGAAGCTAACCCTGGCATACTTGGTCTGCCAACCCATGCTCGGGAAATAGACGCTCACAGACTCCTCGAGGAACTTCCGGAGGCGGTAGCGATAGGACAGGACCGACGCCCGCATCTCAACGTAGTTCTGCAGGGCGAGGTCGTTGATGGCGTAGGCGTCGGCGGCTCGCACGGAGGAGTACTCGGCCAGGGCCTGCAGCCGGGCACCAACAGCGGGGTTCTCGTCATCTTCGACGGGGCTGTTCCTCTCGTTGAGACTGGCGTGCTTGTCCAGAATCGAGAATAGGATCCGGACGTCCTCCATGCCTGCGTTCATGCCCTGGCCATAGAAGGGTACCATGGCGTGTGCTGCGTCGCCGATGACGACACCGGATGCGCCGTAGTGGTAGGGCCGGCATTTGACGCTGATGAGTGGCAGGTGTGGGTTGGTTGTGAATGAGTCCACGAGTTCTTTGCCTGGTATCAAGGATGTAACTCCCGGGAAGTGCTGGTCGAAGAAAGCTGGTAGCGAGGATGGGTCGCTTTCAAGGTAGGCAAACTCCTTGCTAGGCATGAAGAGCGTGCATGTGAATGAGCCATCCTAGAACACCACGTTAGAAAAGTATTGTGAAAAGAGAGGACTCAATACTCACTTCGCTCGGGATGGCAATGAACATGAATTCCTTGCCGGGCCAAATGTGCAAATGGTTTGGAGATATCAGGAACTTGTCTGATGGGTTCTGGGAGGCCGTGGCAACCTGACGCGGCCCCAAGTTGAATTCGCACCATAGGGTATCAATATACTCCTGCTGGTAGTCCATGCGAGTGAACTTCATCAAGTGGTAGCGGACCGCAGAGTGGGCACCATCGGCCCCGATCATGAGGTCAAAGTCGATTTCAATTTCCCTGGGGCGTCCATTGGTCGGATTCTTTTGATCGCGGACTTCAAACCAAGCCTTACGGTTGCGGAAATCAGCACCGGTCAGTTTGTGGTTGAAGAGTAACTTGACGTTTGGTAGACTATCCAGAGTGTCCAGGAGACGCTTGTTGAGGTCTGACCTGTCTATGGCATAGATGGACTAGTAATTCGCGTGAGTAGTTGATTCAATGGGACAGATAATGGTTGAATAAGTGAGTAAAATTGAGAATACGTACTCTTCCTTGAATGTCGTAATCCTGAGATTGCTCATACAACTCACCATTGGGGAGCCTCCCATGAATCATGCGCCCCCTCATTGCGACGGTGTGGCTCATCACATGCTGGAGTATGGTGGCATGGCCAACATTCCGTAAAGCATTGATGCCGCGTTCTGAGACAGCAAGGTTGATGGACCTTGTGAAGTTGAGCGGGATGGTGCCGGGATTGCGCAGATCTATTCGCAAGAAGGTTAACCGTGACCAGAGACAGAACTAAATACCCCCGTTGAGTTTACACAACGGCGCGCCACAGTCTAATGTGCGCGCAACAAAAGAAAAATGAGATAAGATAGATCAAGCAAGATAGCAGACTTCAATGACAGGAATTTTCATTGGCGAAGCGGGCTGAAAACGGAGACGGAGCACGCGACAAATTTGCAACACCAAGTCCAGGTCCACCTGCGATGTGCGCACTCAGAAAGACAAACAACGTACCTGGCCGTAACTCATACAACTCAACTTGGTACCCTCTCTCTGCGGCATAAAGAGCAGCCAGAGACCCGACTGGTCCGGCGCCAACAATGGCTATTTTCTGCGCTGAGGCAGCCATGGAGGTTGGACAGGGCTCCTACGGTTCCGGTGGTACGATTTTGACAGAAGATGACGGATGGCTTCAGCGAGAGTGAAAAGGAAAGAAACGGGCTAGTTGAGGACGGTTGTAGCGCATAGTCTATTGCTAGTAGTGATCTGGGGTTGAGGGGATTATAAATTAAGCAGACGGGCGAAAGCAAAGGGAACGGAAGGCATGGATGTCCTTGGCTGTCACACGCACGGGGAACAGCCATATCACTTGCCCTCCGTAACCGGTTCTGCGTTCCATTTGACCTAGACTGACTCAACCAGCGAATTAGTTGGTTGCCACCCGTTGTAGGGAATTCTCGAAAGGCTGCACGGATGGATGAATAATAATTCAGAAGCCTTCTTTCTACCTAGTACAGTAGTAACAGAGACACATGTGGGGGGACCTCCGCTAACCCGGTCTTGTTAGTGGTCCCAAGCCTCAACTACCGCTAAACTCTAGAGTGCTGGATGTTGGTGTGTAAATCAGAAATATCCCTGTCGGCGTTGTCATGAACCGATCCATAAAACGGAACCCTTTTGAATCTGAGACCAGCTAAGTCCGATTAAAGAGATGGCGAGAGCCGTCTGTAGATGCTGTACTTATATAAATGCGTGTTGCCCTGGGACAGAGACACAACATGCTGCCGCCATCAGATCTGACATGTTTGCTCTCGGGCAACTCGCCATGCGAGATCAATTGGCCCCACCATGACAACGGCAGTGATGGAGGGAGGGGCAATTCTCCGTCTTGGTTTTCGATTTTTGATTATTTTTATTTTGGGAAACACACTTCTCAGAGCTCTCCTCCAAAACCACACGCCCAGACGACGATCTATCTCTTCGCGGGTGATTTCCTCCCTCCTTGCCGATACTGCTGTTACTTTTGCGCATTCTCCAACCCGCTGCCGCCATGACTGCCGAGCCTCCCACCAAGAAGAAGTGCCTGGGCGTCGACTGCCCCAACGACGCTGGCTCCCTGCAGTGCCCGACCTGCTTGAAGCTGGGTATCAAGGATAGCTTCTTTTGTACTCAGGACTGCTTCAAGAAGAACTGGGTATGAGCAAGCCTGGCCAGTACCATCTACATCGCCCATTCACATCCCATGTGGGTGCTTGGTGCTCCGATTCCGATCCCTCCAGTCTAACATACTTTTCGCAGAGTGACCACAAGGTGTTACACAAGACTCTTGGTAAAAAGCTCCCGTCTCCTTGCCCAAGTGCCGTCATCTAACACGCTACAACCCTACCTAGGCGCTGCGACGTACGATCCGTTCCCCAACTTCCACTACTCGGGCTCGCTCCGTGCAGCCTACCCGCTCTCTCCCCACCGAACGCTCCCCAAGTCCATCCCGCATCCCGTGTGGTGGGAGGATGGCAATCCCAAGTACAGCCGCTCCATTATCAACCGGAACAAGATCGATATCCTCGATGCCAAGGGTCAGGCTGCTATGCGCAAGAGCTGCAAGCTCGCCCGTGAGGTTCTCGATCTCGCAGCCGCTGCGGCCAAGCCTGGTGTAACGACCGACGAGATCGACAGGATCGTACACGAGGCCTGTATCGAAAGAAATGTGTGTTTATTCCAACCGTCTCGTCCAGTCCGGGGACCTCTGTCTCCGCTGATGATTGCTACTCGCCAAGCCTGCTAACCACGGCCCTTGATCAAGTCCTACCCTTCGCCGCTGAACTACAACCACTTCCCCAAGTCGTGCTGTACCTCTGTAAACGAAGTCATCTGCCACGGCATACCGGATCAGCGCCCCTTGGTTGACGGCGACATCCTGAATATCGACGTCTCTCTCTTCCACGAGGGCTACCATGCCGACCTGAACGAGACCTACTACATCGGTGATAAGTCGAAGGCGGACCCCGACAACGTGCGCGTCGTCGAGGCGGCCCGCGAGTGTCTCGACGAGGCCATCAAGGCCGTCAAGCCAGGAACCCTGATCCGAGAGTTTGGCAACATCATCGAGAAGCACGCCAAGACCAAGAACTGCAGCGTCATCCGAACGTACTGCGGCCACGGCGTCAACACCCTGTTTCACTGCCCACCCAACGTCCCTCACTACGCCAAGAACAAGACTGTCGGCGAGTGCAAGCCCGGAATGACATTCACGATCGAGCCCATGATCGCGCTCGGCAAGTACCGGGACATCACTTGGCCAGATAACTGGACCAGCACGACGATTGATGGAAAGCGCACCGCGCAATTCGGTAAAGACCAAACGGCCCCTCCCCCCACACACGCATCCAGATTGCCCTCGCGATGCTCTCACATTCAGGTACACAAGGACTACGCATGCTGACTACAAATTCACAGAGCACACGCTGTTGGTAACAGAGACCGGCGTTGAGATCCTGACGGCAAGAAATGCAGACTCTCCTGGCGGTCCCATCCCTATGCCCGGGACTGAGGAGGCGAAGAGCGAGGCATAAGCATGCCCCCGCGCTCAATATTCTAGCATTGTAGAAACCAAGCAAAGAAAAACAGCAGAAAAACTATAGAAACCACAAGTCGGGACTGGGTGACTGAAAATGTGGTGACAGATATGCGACCCCCACTCGCACATGTAGACAAAGTGCGTCACACCACACATGGCTAAAAATGAACTTGTCAGCACTCTGTCTGATCCTGTGCGCGCGGACTGCATATCGACGGCAGAGGCGCCGGGCTTGATTACTGAAATCTGGCCTGATGTGCTGTTACACCTGCCAACCCTGCCCTGTATATATGATATGTATGTACGTATGTGTGTAGACTACGTGTTCAGCTTCTGCCATGTTTGCCCCTGCCCCCGGCGTCCATTGGCGATTGATGGCACTCGAGTGCCGTTGACGAGGGGCAAGCCGTTTGTGAGCGGCCGTGCTGGCTGACGGCGCAGAGCAACGTGCGGCCTGTGGCGATCAGCCTGCACTGGCCTGGCCTGGCGGGAAGCTTGGTAGGGCATGTGCCTAGCGTGCGATGTCATCATCTCGTCCCGACTTGGGGGGGCAGAGCACGACCTTGGCAATCGAGGGAAATTTCTGGCCAACCACCGGGCGGGCGCACTGGAGCTGCCCTGCTGCGGCGCTGTTGAAAACGACGACAGCGGGTAGGTAAGGTTGCGAAGGGCACTCCAGCAGTACTTGGCGTGGCTGCAGGCGGTACATTGGGGCGGGACACCGGTGGTGCATGGGCGCACATGTCTGACAGCCCCCGGTCAGTGGTGACCGAAAAGCACCAACCACCGGCCGAGCAATGAACCACTGTGGCCAACTCTAGCGCCCCAGCGGCGAGCCGGCCGCAGCGGTCCTTGTACCTGGGCCTCGCCAGCACGTACTGCTTATGTCCTGTCCGACTCCACACGGCCTGCTGCTACCTGTAACCGACAGCACTCACCAGCACCACCACCAGTCCGTTGCCAGCCTAGCCTACCACCGCATCAAGCCTTCTCTCGCTGGTTCTTCCTAGCTCTTCCTCCTTCTTCTCCCCCGCCACCCCTCCGGTATCAAGCCTCGTCACAAGTCAAGAGCCCTCGACCAAGCTGAGCCTGTTGATCGCTTCACCTCCCTGTCGCTGGCCTCTCCCTCAAGCCACATTTCCTCCCACCCGATAACCCTCCTGCTGTGACGCCTCCTGTCAAGTCGACCCTCTGCACCACCACATCCGGCTTATCGCTACGTATCATCATCCGGCCTCTCTGACCTCGCGCGCCACGCCCGGATCCTCGTCGTACAGCTTCACCTCTGCATCAATCTCCCCCGTCTCACCACAACACCGGTCCAATGATGTCTGGCGAAGCATGGCTGTTTTTGCTGGCGGTGCTGGTTAACGCCGTCAACCTGTTCCTGCAGGTCTTCTTCACCATCATGTACAGCGATCTGGAATGGTACGCAACAAGCATCACCAGCTCTCCGCGGCTCGGTAGCGCGCGGCTTCCTGGCCCCGGGCTGCCCTGCCGTGCTCTCGTGTCTGTATGCGCAACTAACTGAGCGTTCCTAGCGACTACACGAACCCCATCGACCTTTGCAAGAACCTCAACAAGTACATCATTCCCGAAGCCGCCGTCCATGGATTCCTCACCTTCCTGTTCCTTATCAATGGCTACTGGGTACCTTTGATCCTGAATCTGCCGCTTCTCGGATGGAATGCGAACAAGTACGGCCTTCCGCCCCCAGTCTACCACGCAAGTCCTTGTTTCGTCTTGCTAACTGAAGCTCCAACAGGATCATCAACAACACCCATTTCCTTGACGCAACTGAGATCTTCCGAAAGTTAAACGTTCACAAGAAGGTGAGACATCTGTCCTTGCCCTTTTCCGTAGATGTGCGGAGGCTAACGTAAAAAATCCAGGAATCTTTCTTCAAGCTCGGCTTCCACCTCGTCATGTTCTTCTTCTACCTCTACAGCATGATTGTCGCTCTTATCCGTGACGAGTCCTCCTAAACGGCTCCGGTTCGCCACGCCGACGCTCTAACACCACTCACAATTTAGACGGCGTTCGGTTTGGGTGTTTGCAACAATTGTATGCTAGGTGAAATCCCTTCCCGAGAAAATCCTCGCTGAGGTCGGGGAGGGCGGTTTGCAGTAATGGCGCGCGCAGAGGAAACGAGGGAGCACAAAGCACATGATGGATGTTCGGGTATATTCTGTTTAAAGAGCATGATGAGCAACGTCACGGCGAATTGGGGTGTAGCAAATTAGCACAGAGTAGGGGCCGGGTTATCTTCTTTGGGACACAGGATCTCTTGGGGCGCATTCATCTCCGGCACAGCTTCTTTTTCGGCTCAGTGGTGGACCACTGAATTCTCACTTGCGGAACTATGTGACTACTGGGACTGGGTAGAGAGACTGTCACCATGGACTAATAATACATAAAAAATATATAAACCTGTATTTGGATTGTTCCGAGTTTTGCTCCCTCAAACTAGAAGTGAAGCAAGGAACAGCCACAATTTTAATAAAACAAGTTAGCAGAAGTAAAAAGGACAGGAGGAAAAAACGCATGTCCTTATCTCTCACAAGCCTTGCTTTCACCCTGCAAGCTTGTGATATCCAAAGATGACATCGCAAAAAATCTTGGAAGTGGTCACGTGACGCATGCCAGTTTCTAGTAGGCGCGCTCAGGCGCCGCATCGCGTCGCTTGCATCGCATCCCCCGACCATCATCCTCAACCTACTCCCGAACGACGACGGCGGTGACGACGAGCGCAATGGCAGACTTCGGAGAATACCCGCCCAACATGGCGCCGCAAGATGCGCTGGTGGTGCGCCAGCAGGCCGAGGCCGACCACGCTGTCGTGCAATACTCGGCGGAGGACCTCTCGAGACCCGCGGCCGGGCCTCTGAACCCCTTCCGGGACCAGACGACGGCCCAGAAGCGCAAGAACGCCCTCACGGGACATGCTGAGGAGACCTTCATCAGCGAGCACACATTCCGCGCCAAGCACCGGGCGGTGGAGGGCAGGGGCGGGCCCGAGCGAGCGCACCAGACCAACCGGGAGCTCAAGGCCGAGGCTGCGAAGATCCGGGCGACGAGGGAGGGGAAAGGGAACGCCATGATTGCCGAGGGGGCTGGCGCGTACGTGGGGCCCTGGGCCAAGTATAAGCAAAAGGAATACGAGATTGTCGATGAGGACCACGAGCTCGCGAGCGACGAGGAGTACGAGATTGTGGAGGAAGAGGAGGGCGACGACGAGGTTATAGAGAGCGGGACGGTCCTCCAGGCGCCTGGCGACGCCCTCGCGCGCCGGGAAGCAGAGGAGGCGCTCGGCGACGAGACGTCGACGTTCCACGGCGCGGAGGAGCACGACTACCAGGGCAGGACCTACATGCACGTTCCGCAGGACCTCGAGATCAACTTGCGCAAGGAGGTCGGCAGCATCAAGAACTACATCCCCCAGAAGCAAATCTTCTCCTGGAAAGAGCACACCAAGTCAGCCGCCAAGGCCGTCACGGCCCTGCGCTTCTTCCCCAACTCGGGCCACTTGTTCCTGTCGGCTGGTGCCGATGCCACTGTCAAGATCTGGGACTTTTATCACGAGAGAGAGCTCCTCCGGACGTACTCGGGTCACTCCAAGGCTGTGTCGGACATTTGCTTCAACACCGATGGCACCCAGTTCCTCACCGCATCTTATGATCGCATGATGAAACTCTGGGACACGGAGACTGGCAAGTGCCTCAACAGATTCACGACGGGCAAGACACCACATGTCATCAAGTTCAACCCCGACCCCGAGCACTCGAACGAGTTCCTCGCGGGCATGTCCGACAAGAAGATTGTGCAATTCGACATCAGGAAGCCCAGCGAGACGATCCAGGAGTACGACCACCACCTGGCGGCCATCAACACCATCGTCTTCGTGGACAACAACCGGCGGTTCATGACCACCTCGGACGACAAGTCGCTCCGCGCCTGGGACTACAACATCCCCGTGCCCATAAAGTACATCGCCGAGCCCGACATGTACCCCATGACGCGGGCCGCCGCCCACCCGAGCGGCAAGTACGTCGCGTACCAGAGCTCCGACAACCAGATCCTCGTCTACGGCGCCAACGAGAAGTTCCGCCAGAACCGCAAGAAGAGCTACCGGGGCCACAACAACGCGGGCATGGCCATCGACCTCGAGTGCTCCCCCGACGGGCAGTTCCTCGCCTCGGGCGACTCGGCGGGCTACGTGTGCTTCTGGGACTGGAAGACGTGCAAGATGTACCACAAGCTGAGGGCGGGCACGCAGGCCGCCACGTGCGTGCAGTGGCATCCCCAGGAGACGAGCAAGGTCATCACGGCCGGGCTGGATGGCGAGATCAGGCTTTGGGATTAGAGGGATTTCAGGGCGAAACCGCTGGGACAAAAAAAGACGAAATTGTAATAGTTATTTTTGAATTGCATAGCATGGCGTTAGTTATGAATAGAGTGAAAAAAAAATGAGACGGCAGAGTCTCGTCTTGGGGTACACACAAAGGTACCCACTAGAAGAACGTAAATTGCTGTTTGCCTTGTAGCATCCAGCAAAAATGCCAAGCCCAAGGGGAGCCGAAACGTAGCTGCGTACCTGACAACCTCTTGGGGGGGGTTAAAATTGCTGTGTGCGCCTCATTCAGCTCATACCTTAGTGGCAATATAGGTACAGATCAGTGACAGAAGTCTGCGACCGCCCACCTTATCCAGCTAATATACCCTCTTTTCGAACAGCTATATTCAGATCAATAATAATTCGAAAATTCTAAAAATAAATCTACTTATTATTTATTAGTAAAACTTTTATATTTTTTTTCTGGAACTTTTACTCTAAGTTTTAAAGTTTATTTAAAGAAATTAAAAAAGATAATTTTTAGTAAAAAAATTCCTTCCTATTGCGAGGGAAGTGGTTTGAAAAATCTAGGTTGAGAGGTTTTCCTATGTCTATGTTTGTCCGTGTGTTCCTTGCTTCATCGAGTGTCTTGATCGACGAACATGCCGGTGGATTTTCCATAATCACCTATGAGGCAACGATCGCGACAGTAGACTAGGTACGCTGCTTGTTTGTGATTATATACAGTCTCGCCAGCGGTACCGAAAACGAGGGGCGGCGGTGTGTCGACAAATCAAGAGCATGCCTCCTTTGTCTTGGCGAGAATCGGAAATAAGTGTTCTTCTCGTAATGAGTACATACTTTGATAGTTACTTATGTTGGTCATTAGGAGACAGTGTTGTACATGAGGCCGACCTGAATAGGGGAGAAATAGAGGCCGGGATTTCTAACTTAGGAAGCCACAGGTATGTATATCGATTAAACGACATATGTAGAAAGTTCAGCACTACATGATGGTTAGTGGCAGGTTGACCACGAGAGCAGGTCTTTGGCTGCAGGCTACCCTATGCATGTGCTAAACAACGGACTTCTCCCAGTTGGAGCACTAGAAACGTCCCATCGTTGAACCCAGCAGGAAATATTTTATGAATAGAGACATACATGTATGTCTGTTGTATCTTCTCGTTCAGGCTCGCAAAGATAATATGCTGGGTTAACAAAACCACGGTTCCGTTGACCATTGACCGTTCTCCCATTACGCTTGATTCTTATTCCCGAACCTACCCCACACTAAATGTGCCTCGGTCTCCACTTTGGCCGTGGAGAATGCGGGGGAGCAGCCGCCAGCCAATCATCGTCTCCTTGGCCTCCAACTCGAGTCCTGGATGGGATATTTCATATTTACAGAAAGTCTGGATGGAACCAGTCTGCAGAGCGGGGACGATGAATTGGGGGACTGGTCTCCAATGAGATCGCCATCGTCAGTCCCCATCTGCGTGCACAGACAGAAACATTGAGCAAAGGTGAGGCTACGCCGGAAATCGCAACTCCAGGAACCCCCGGTGAGGTGGTGTGGAGAAGCCCATCTCAGCTCTAACCTCTGATCCGGGTAATGACATCCGTTTGCCTTGGGATCCTCCCAGCTAACAGGAACTATCAGAAGCAAATGATGCTGGATTATCAATACGTGGGACGTGGACCCCCATGTCCCTCCGGTGGAACATCTGGGGGTGCTCCGGCTCGGAGGAACCATACACACCTTGTCCCCAGATACAATTGGATGCCAATAGTCTGTTCGTGGGAGCTCAACCCCATACCCCGCAGTTTCAGTCCATGGGGACGGCCGAAGACCGTTTCATCCTGTTTTCCCTTCTCTCCCATCCCCTCTCCGGTGCTCCATTGCTAGCCTCGTCTCCTCTCCAGCGCTTCTTCCTACGACATCCCCAGTACATGCGCCTTTGGCTTCACCGTTGAGCTGCAATGGCATCTACGGTGGTGTCTACCGTCACAGCCGCGGCCGCGACCTCGGCTCCGGCACCAGCCCCGTCGACAGACAATCCCAAGCCGAGATCCCAGACAAAGACTAGGAAGAGGGCGTCCAAAGCTTGCCTATCCTGCCGCGCCAGAAAAGTCCGCTGCGATGTGTCGCAACGGGGTCGCCCGTGCATGAACTGCTACCTGGACAGCGAGACCTGTGTTGTTACCGGACGAGCCTCGAGATAGTACGTCGCATGCTGTTTGTTCCCATCGTCGAGCCAATTGCTGATATGATTCTGTCGCAGTCGCCGTCCACGCGAGTCTGGTGAGGATGTCGAGGCCTCATATCCTCCGTATCCCCCTTCCGTCAATGCCGACAGTCGTTCCGCTGAGGATGTCGTCAAGTCGAGGCAGGATGAGGCCACTGACTACCCGATGACTGCTGCGATCGACCAACAATCGGTACCGTACAACTCCAATGTAGAATTGAACTCTGGGAACCACAATCATGTGTGTTCGGATCATGGCGCAAACGAGAACCTGAGTCTGCCGGCCACAAACTTGAAAGTGCCCGCTCAAACAAGTCAAATACCAGGTGAGTATTCTTGGATCTGGGAGCTAAGCAAAGGATATCTAAGCTTTGAACCTTCTCTATTTCTCCCCGGGACTGACATTGCCGTTGTAGATCTCCAAGCTCGGAATAATAGTGGTGGCATATTCTCCAACGCCAACTTCAGCTCAACATCCCACTGCTTCACAGACGACTCCCAGGGGGTGACCTCGGACATTGTCTATTCATACTATCCCTTCATCTCGGCCAGCAACATTGCCAACATCCCACCGCAGGATGTCAACTTCCTGGAGCTCCAGGGCTGCCTGCGCGTACCGATCCGGCCTCTCCTCGACGAGTTCCTCCAGCAATACTTTCTGCACGTCCATCCCATGCTTCCCCTGGTCAACGAGGGGGACTTCTGGGACCTTTATAGTCAGAACCCAAGAAGCACTTCCCCAGACGACCGCCTGTCCCTGCTCCTCCTACAGACCATCCTCTTCGCCTCGTGCAACTTCGTCTCCAAGACGACCCTCAAAGCGCTCGGGTTCCCCAGCATCCGCGCAGCCCGGGCCGGCCTCTACCGCCGCGGCAAGCTCCTGTACGACCTCGAGGCCGAGTCCTCGCCGCTGGCGTCGGCGCAGGCGGCCTGCCTCCTCTCCCTCTGGGCGCCCCCCTCGACCAAGAAGCCCAACACGTCGTGGCTCAGCCTCGCCATCCAGCACGCCAAGAGCGCCGAGGCGCACCACTACGCCTCCATGCCCGTCTTCTCGGCCGAGACGCACCCCCTCCAGCACCGCAAGCAGAACATCCTCAAGCGCGTGTGGTGGTGCTGCGTCATCCGCGACCGCACCCTGGGCCTGCTCATGCGCCGCCCTATCCAGATCACCCGCGAGCACTTCGACTTCGAGACGAGCCCCGTGCTCGGGTTCCCCGACCTCGTGGGCGAGTTCGGCCGATCCCAGGTGTACGGCCCGGACACGAAGCGGTGCCTCGCCGAGATCCTCGTCCAGCTCGTCGAGCTGTACGTCGTCCTCACCGACATCATCGTCCTCGTCTTCCCGCTCGACGACACACCGGGTTGGGGCAGGGACATGGCCCCCGAGGACGTCGACCGCATCCGCGAGTGCAAGATGGCCCTCCGCCGCTGGTACAAGGACGCGACGCTGCGCTTCCCCATGTCCGGCCGCGGAGGCCAGCAGCAGCAGCAGGCCGACTCATCTACTCTTCCGTCGTCGCGCCGCCACGGCTCCGTCATCCTGTACACCAACCTCATGTACATGTACTACCACTCGACCCGCGTCGTCCTCTGCCACCACGAGGTCCTCCACCTGGCCATCATCCAGGCCATGCCACGTAACGAGGGCAGCGGCAGCAGCAACATCACCCGCGACCTGTCGATAATCTACGAGAACCGCCACGAGCTGCAGGACGCCGCCTCGGGCGTCACCGAGTGCCTCAAGGAGCTCGTGCAGCTCAAGCTCGCCCGCTGGCTGCCCATCTCCGCCGTCGCCTGCACCGCCCTGCCCCTCGTCCTCAACATCCTCGACGTCAAGCTGTCCAGCCGCCAGCAGCAGCAACAAGGGGCAGGAGGAGCGAACCTCGACCGCAACGCCGCCGCCGCGCTCAAGCAGCACCGCCTCAACATCCTCATCGAGGCCATGAAGACGTACCAGCCGCAGTACGACGGCGTCGACTGGGTGAGCGAGATCGTCCGGCACATCGTCAACCTCGCCAAGATCGACGACGGGTCGGCGGGGGGCGAGGGGCAGCAGCAGCAGGCGAACGGCATCACCGACTGGACGGACATTCTCGCCTCGAACCCCAGCTCGTACCTCCGGCTGGCGCTGGCCCTCGACCTGAGCCTGAGCAAGGGGCGGCTGCCCGAGGACGGCGACTTCCCTGTTAGTCTGAGGGGCCTATTCACGGGCGGGTTCAACCCGCTCAAGGGGCTCGTCGAGGCCAACCGCAACGTGCAGGGCGGTGGGAACACGGGCGTTCACTTCCAGCAACAGCAGCAGCAGCGGACGCTGTCCCAGGAGACGGACTCGATGTGCTCGCCCACCGACTCGCACATGACCACCAACTCGGACGACGCGGCCAACGAGGCGCTGCGGGACCAGGTCAGCTCGCGCATCAGGTCCGAGCACGCCGCGGTCAACACGGACGCACCGCCCTCGGAGGGCATCATCTGGGGCCTGGGGAGGGACCTGGGCGAGGTCCTGCCCATGCACGACGACCACTCGCCGAGCTCCGGCAGCCACGAGGGCTTGTACATCGACGGTCCCCTGCCGGACATCTCGGCCGAGTGGCTGGAGAACCTGTGGGATGAGATGGGGGACATGGAGGACAAGACGGACAGGGACACGGCGAGGCTTTTGCTGGAGGCGTTGAAGGAGGGGGAGGCATAAAAAGGATATAGATAAGATCTTGGAGTTTTTTGGTTTAATTTATTATGAGACCCAGAGGCCACAGAGCACTTTTTTTCTAGTTTCGCTTCAGATAAAGCAGCAAAAGAATAAGTTGCATAAAAACATAAAAGCAAAAGAACCGCTGTGGTGAGAGGACGCTGACCAACACCCTTATTACTGGGAGAAGCTGTCCCTTGCCTGAGAGTTGAGTGGCAATTTGTTCGTCTCCTTGATTCCGTTCCGTACCAACAAGCACTTGTAAACAGATCATGTTCCCACCGACAACAAACACCTTTCCCTTGCCATATCTTGCCGAATAAGACGCAGCCCCACGTAAAGATCGATACTCTCGCCTGCAGAAAGATACGTGTCTTCCCTTCCTTCACCAGATGCTGCTCATGGAGATCTCCTCGTCGGTGAGACCAGCGCAGGCACCGCACAGGCAGCGGAACCCATAGTAGCGGTACAGATCTATCGGCCGAAGCCCGAACCCGTACGATATGGTGAGCTCGTCGCCGTCCTTGATGGGCTCCGCGCCCACGCTGAAGATCATGCAGCCTGTTGTCGGGTCGAAGCGGTACTCGAGGTTGTGGGAGGGCGCGCAGGCGTGGTTGAATCTGGAGGCGACGGCGAAGAGACCCTGGCAGTCTGGGTTGATGGAGAAGCTGCGAGAACGACTTTTAGTTAGGATCGAATGCCGGCGTGTCAGGGCGGGAACATGAGATTCGACAAGGACTGACCAGTTGGTTGACCATATGGCCTCGATGGTCACACGCTTGGGCTCAAAGTGGTCACTCGCGTATAGCTGGAGGAACACGTTCCTCGAACTTGCGTCAAGGCGCTGAAAGTCCCGGAAAAGGTTGTCGTAGTTGGAGCGGAGGATGGGCTGTTCCAGCAGGACAACTTCGCCTGGCGCGAGATCTCGGCGTGCGAAACCGCCCACACCCGACATGGAGTACGGCCGGACCTCGAAACAGTCGTTCTCGAAGAGGAATCTGCTGGACAATGACTCGACGATGTCTCTGGAGCTGAGGAGTTTCTGGCTCGAGTAGGGTCCTTCGTCGATGTGCGCCGGGCTCCTTGCACCCTTGTAACTGTTTTCATAGTCGATATAGTCTGCTTCGTTGGCCGAGTCTTGGTCGCTGCTCGCGGCATCGCTAAAAGGCGCTGATGTAGATCTGTAGGAGAAGATGAGCTGTCAGACTCTGGGCATTTTGGAGAGTGTAGTTGTTTCTAAAACAACAGTGCTCAGGTCTTGTTTCGCTTACACAGTATCGCTGCTAGTTGATGAATACAGTCTGAAACCATCCGCCAGCTCCTCATCGAGCAGAGATAGCGGGGACCAGCTTTCATCCGACATGAGACTCGAGCCTAGGTCCTCGTAGGCGTTATCTGGCATGTTGGTTCGTTCGCTCGGGATAATGATACTGAAGAAAGTGAATATTGAAAGTGTTCAACTTTGCGTCCGGAATCACCTCATCGATCATGAGAAAGAAGAACCCTGGGGCGGTTTGGGTCCTCGGGAGGCTATGTTGTAGGATATTGAAATATTGTACTCAAGCGCAAACCTCCGGCAACCCCGGGCTTATGTAGCCGAGCAAAAAGCATGCGAATCACTAAATTATGGGTGCGGATGAGTTTCGGGAGTGTGCGCGGGTAGATGCATTCACATGCAAGGTTCCTGTTTGTGTGAGGGACCGGAGTGGGCTCTACGGCGCGCTGCTTGTTTGCTCTGCATCTATCCCGGCGAAAGCTGGAAACAAAAAGCAAATGTGTTTTGTGTGAGACAAATATTCCGAGGAGCTACTGAGTAACAGGCATTGGCCAACTATTGTGCATAGTTGGAGTTATCAACACGGCTGGCAGGGGCGATGGAGTATCGAAAGCTGATATTCCTTCGTACGAATAACTCACAACAAGGAAAGACGTGGCAGAAAAGAATGACAATATTTTCAAAAGAGTACTGGTCCCGAGTTCCGTGTGCCATTCACCATCGCTAAAACTGAAATAATAATTATCAGGTCCCCTCCCAGAACAGAAACACACAAAGTGCCTACCCAATCTTGACAGTACCGAACCGCATATTAGTCGTTGATACGGAGTACATGAAACACTGCACTCCCCTAAGCGAGTGCCGCCGCCTCGGGCACCTTGGATGCGAGTTGCATCCCATGTTTGCGGAGGCGGAAAGGACATGTGTCGCAGCACACGGAACACTTCAAAACATCAGGCCGTGGCCACACCTTCCGGCACTTACAGACCCAAAATTCTTCATTAGTCTTGGTAGTCAAGGAGTCTGAGGGCGCGTGGAGCCCGGTGAGCAGACCACAATCGATACAGAACCGACGGAGGTATACTCCCATGACTTTGCTGTATGGTGATACGTCTCCTTTGACCACATATCCTTGTTCGTCTATGATTGCATGCTGGGCCTGGTTCGCGTCGAAATGCTCTGGTGATCGGATCCGGAAGCAGATATAGCACTCGAAGTTTCCGGGGTGGTAGTTTGAGCCTCTCTCCTTGGGCCAGTGCTGTGGGAAATTCATTGCTCTCGCGACGAACTGCAGCATCTTTAATGGGTCCGCGAGATTTTGGGGGACGACTGTCCGATGGAAGAACCGGCTGGTTGTTGACAAGCGGATGAGTGAGTGGTAATCCACAGACGAGAATATCATTTTTCGGATCTCCCCTGGTAGTCGAGCCAGAGAGCAAGCCTGCTCAGGCGCTGGCACTTCGTTCTTGGGTTCCACTGCTGCGGCGGTCTCGGCATCAGCGGCGGGAGACACAACCTGCTTTAGAATCTTGGATTTGCGTGGCTTCGCAGGGCGATTGTGCGGCACGAACCCTGAGATGGTAGCCATTGGGGGCGAATAGCCTTGGGATGGGGGTCTGACACTGAAAAACAGACGGCTGGTGTATCTTTCTCCCTGGGCGGGAACAAGTAGGAAAGGATGACCAAGTGGCAGTAGGCGGCTTGTTGTTGTTTATTTGTTTCGACTTGTCCCCCTTGATGAGTGGGGAGATTTGAGTCAGTATAGTCAGCGACGACAAGCACCTTGAACAGCTGTGCACGAGGCTGGAATGTCCGTGAGTTGCAAGGCCCTGGGGCCGGTAAAGGCTGATATTTATACAGGTCAGCGTCCGGAGGCGAGCAGCGCTGCTGTGAGTTACGGAAAGGGAAATCTCACAAGACAATACGGTCGATGGGGAGCAAAGTGACAAAAAGCAAAGTGCCGGCTGGAAGCGAATCACGCTACTCGACTGCCTTGCATTGTTGCTGAGAACATACAGAGCCCAGCCATGGGTGGGAAATACGTATCCTCCCTGCTGGCTAGGTGGAAAATTGTCTCATCGAACGGCTGAGACAAGACAAGCCGCCGGCCCGGGTCGTTTTCTTTCTTTCATTTATGGAAGAGAGTTCACTGCAGTGGTGAGAGATAGCTGGACCAGTAAAAAGGCCCGGTGAGTTGCTCTCCGAGAGGGTGAGGGCACATATCAGGTGCCATCACTTGCGACCCTATCCTGCAGTCGATCAGTGCGGAACCATTCAGAGCATGGGATGTGTGCTCGAGGTTGCATGTATGCACATTGGGGAGGATTCTAGCTTTGGAGGAGAGCTCAAAAGAGCAGGTACTTGCATCTTCCCACTCCCTCTCTACAATCCACACCCTCCCTCCCCACCAGATTGCCGCCTAGGATCAGGCGCAGACACCCGCTGCCCCCCCTCATCCATGTATGGGGCAGCTTAGGACAATATTATCGGTCGAGATCCACTCCATGCCCTGCTGCAACTTATTGTCCGTGTGTTAGGTACTCTACGATGTCGGATAGAGCCGTGGAAGGCGTCCTGGTTAGTGACCACTTGTGTGACACGGCACGTCGTCGACGTGGGTTCCCTGGAGTCGGAGATGGGGGCTCGCAATGCGTTGGGTGAGGGGGTGCCGTTCTCTTGCACTCTCCGCATGCTACCTTACCAGCTACGCTTCATCATCACTTCGTAAACTCAAGTGTGATGTAGACCCACGCCATGCATGTATATGCAAGAGCTAGAGTGATTGTCACAAAAAATACGATAGACAGCAGAAGAGGGAAGAAGAAAATATGACAGCACAAGAAGACGGCGGAAAAAGAACCTTTTGCCCCCTCTCTGCGAGGAAAGAGGAAACAAAGACCTGAACGGGTGAGCTGGAGGCCGCGCACGCAGATGGGATGCACGATCGTGGGGAAGAGAAGCATTCAGGCAGAGGGAAGGGGCGAATCCACCACGAAGAGACGAGTCAAAGACGAGAGATGAAGCTCCCGTCCTGGACGCTAAGGGGGACAACCTTGCTAGGACGGCAAGTCCCCAAGTTCCCCGACCACCCTCAATAAATCATGTGAGGTGGATGACGATGCGGCCACGGCTTGGCTATCACTGTGACGACCCAGACTGTCGGGACATTGCTGAACAGCTAGTCGCCTGGATCGCCTTTGCTAGACCTGAGGCCACCCACTCGATGCTCTGTTGGCTATAAAATAAACCGAATAAGCGAGTGGCAAGACGCCTAGGTGCATTGAATGGTCGGGTGTCGCGTCGGAACGGGCCTGGTGCGTCTATTGTCTCTTGAGCGCTCCCTTGTATTGGCTAGAGGCTTGGTGATATCACCTTCAGCTCGACTGCTGCTCGCCCGATTAGACAGAGATGGTTGCCGTATACGCCCAGCACGGCGATATGAGCCTGTTGATCTTTTGGGAGGGTGGCGCGCGGGGGGATCTGTCAGTATTCATTTGTGTCGATTTTAGGTAAGATGGAGCTCTGCAAAGGAGGCAGTGCTTATCCCAGAGCCAGATGGCAGGCGGATGTGGGAGGCGAGGTAATGATTGACTGAATGCATGTCGTGGATAGAGAGATGGTCCAAGCAGGCCCCTGCTTTGATGCCCAATATTGGCCGTGCTCACACCAGACCTGCCTCGTCACAATGGGACTCGGGAGCTGAACGACATGAACGGCTGAGGTCTTGCGTGAGCATCGAGCTACGGCTGAGGGAGGCAAGCAGCAAATGGAAAATGGACTGCTGGGACACGTGGGTACAGGTGTGTGGCTTCGTGTTTGCACACGAAATGGTAGAAAGTGAGGCAGACAAACAAAAAGCAAATCCGACCAAAATGCACATCTGCAGATGGGAGCGATCACATTGCGTGCGAGAGCTATGCATGTGGATGGAAGGAGCGACGATGCATCAGGTACCTGCCGCCTTACCGCTTGGGAAAGAAGTGCCCCAGCTCCTGCCGAGCACGAAACCAGCGCCGGCCGCACCTACCTCATCACGCAAGACGGCCAGCCAAGGAGGCGTAAATGGTGTTACAAATGGACACGGTCTGGCAGCTGTGACATCTCCGAGGGTGGGAGATAAGCCGATATCTCGACAGATGACTGGCATCGGCGATAGAGATAGCGAGCAGACCGACGGCGAAGGGATAGGCTGTCAGCCATCCATGCTGCGTTATCTGCTGCAGCTTCAAGCCGATCCGACGCTGTCTGGGGATGCATGTCTAGACTCTGGAGTCGCAGCAGTGTGGATGTCTGTTTGGGCACCCACCCGCAAGACTTCCTCTGTCTGGGGAAAAGAGCATGCAGGGAGGAGAGGAGAGGGGCCCAACATACCCTGACACCCACCGACACACACACCGAATCGATGGGCATCGGGGTTTATTTTGAACGAAGATGGCGAGCTGCAGGAAAGTGAGACAAATGGAGTGACTGGTCGCCAGTTGCCCCCCCAGGCTGCTCGCCAGTCACAGTCGGCACACGCACACCACACACGCTCCGGCAGTCGAGACATTGGGAGGCAAGCAGACAAGAAAGGGTCGCATTTGACCACCGGAGCAACCCAGCAGGGTTTCATTTGGCGCCGATCCTCGCAATAAGGTAGAGTGAAGGAGGACCAACGGGACACAAGCAGGGCTGGATGGCGCTTGTGAGAGTGGTCCTTCTCTGTAATTAGGCCCCCTGGACTAGCCGTGGGACTAGACAGCCCCACGATGTGATCTTGTCATGCAGGCAATGCCGCCGGTAATAATAGGTTGCGGGCAAGGAGGCTGGGCGTGAGCCGTCGGTAAGCTGCACTGTACGAGATGCAAGGCAGGCAATATTGGGTCTGAGGTGCAGCAGCCCGCCCACAGCGAGTGCAGCAAGCGGGCATATGACTGCGGCCGTCCGAACCCAGGAGCCAGCAGACTGCTTCTGCTGGCCACGAAACAGCCAGGCCTGTATTGAAAACAGCTCTGATACAGCATGATGGTGCGCTCTCATGACAGCCTCTGGCCCTGCACATGGGCCAAGCGCCCGACCCTCTTCGGTCCGGCCATGATGTAAGAGCCCCACCACCATCTCCTGCAGCTCTTCCAGGCTGTGCTCAC